TGCAATTAGTCTTCAATAAATTAAGGTTACCTCAACCGACATCTCATCTAGCAAGTTGTTGCATGATGAGCCTCAGCGTCGTCCTTGCAGGTGTTCACGAAGTGCACGGCACGCTACAGATCTTCGCTAACGTTGGTGGAATCCAAACTGAACCGCCCCCACTGAAAAATTAACCAATAATATAAGATCTCTGGTGTGATCAGCGGAAAATCACTAGAAATATTAAAAAACTAATATTGCCCCTGACAAGCAAGAGCATAGCCAGGCATTTTTTTTTTTTTTTTTTGAGGAGAGGGGGGGGGGGGGGAGGGGGCTGGGTGAGGTGGCCGGGATGTGCATCACTTGTGTGTGCGTGTGTTTTGTGTTGGGGGTGCATGTGTATACATTATCAAGTCGTACATGATGGCGATAAACAGCTAAAGAAAGGCGTTGTTGTTGTTGTGCGTTGAATATACGGGCTTTATGGCGCTAAGCTACTATGGCCATTCTGCGCCAAGCTTTTTTTAGTTGAAACATACTCGGAACTTATTGTTACAAACTATCTAAAAAGATTTATGTGACAAGGTTAGAAGTCATAGAATTAAAATTACAACTCCAGTAGGAAGCCGATTTTCCTTAAGTAATTTAACACAGAATCTGGTGTGAAAAAAAAAAAAAAAAAATCGGGGAAATGTGTACGTTTTTCTTGCTCAAGCCCTGAGCACAGCGGCAAAATATGTACATTTGTTAAGCGCTCACCACAGGCCTAGGGATGCTGCGAAGTTTTTTCGAACCGAAGTTTCGACTATCGAATCAAGCGGTTCGAAAGATTTATATTTTTCGAACTTTCTATACTTTAAAATTCGACGGAAGTCGAATTTTCGAACCTGTTAAACTAAGAAGTTCGACGCTTTTCGAACCGTCGAACTTATGACGCTGAAAAATTTTATCCTTTTCGTAACTTATTACGCTGCAAAGTTCGATGCTTGTCGAACTTTCGACCTTGATACGCCAAAATATTCGATGATTTCCGAACTTTCGAACTTCTTGCACTAAAAAATCGAAGCTTTTCGAAATTTCGAATTTTCTACGCTAAGGAATTCGATGATCTTCGAACTTTCGAACTTATTTATCAAGAGAATTAGAAAAGTTTCGAATTTTCGAATCCTGACATGCCAAAAGTTCGACAAACTTCGAACTTCGAAAGACCGGCGGACGGTTTCATTTGAATTCCAGTAGTGAGGTACATTCGTAATTTTTTTTCTCGAATCTCTACATGCGGTGCTGCGTTTTCTAGAAAAGACAATGCCGTTTATTCCAATGTTCTAGCATGCTTAGTTTTAAATAAATAAATTCCCGAAGGGGCGAGGAAGGACGAGTTTTTCGACGATTGTCGTTTGTGCCATATTTGAAGCACGCTATAGCCGAAGCTATTTATGGTAGAGATGTTAAACTTCTTAAGGATGATCTATGTATAAAGAGTCGTTTTAAGATGTGATTATTGTTTTTCAAGATAAGTTTCGAATAAATGTCCAAACATGTATCTACGGGTAATTATGCCCTAAACTTTTTTTTTTTTCGTCTAAGTTGTTCGAGGTATCGTATTTAAATTAACACTACAGACAGTACATATCATTGCCATCTGCAGAATACAAAATAATGTATTTATTGTTTTTTTCACGTTCAGGAATAAATTATCTCATGGGAGAAGATATCTAATATTGTTTAAGTTCAGCACGTCATTAAAAAATAAACATTTGTTTTCTTGCTTCACGTTCTTGGGACGTGTTTCTTTTATCCTGTACACATTTGGTAGGAGAAACTTGTTTCGAAGTTCTGAGCCTCTGAATATGCAAGAATACAACACTTCCAACAAATTCCCGATTTTTTTTTTTTTTTTTTACCAATGGCACAGTTATTTAGCTCGAAAAGACATAGCTGTGAACTTCCGAACCACTAAGCATGTCACAAGTAGTGCCTTCTGACAACGAGTTTTCGAGGATGACCATCTCCTCGATCTTTTATCCAGTGAAGAGCGACAGTCGCTATACATATGCATAAATAATTTCAGATTAAAATAAGCTCGTCCACGCGCTCTTTCCCCGCATTGTTTTCTTTAACAGTCCGAAATATCTAAAAAAGGCAGCCATAATATCTAAAAAAGACAAGCAAACCGATAATGTAGCAAAGCACCACAAGTTGGGTGATTTGGATAAGACAGAATTCTGGAAGGCATAATTAAGTCACAGCAAGATAACGTCGTCTTTGCCTAAGTGACATCTGATTAAATTCAGCGTACAAGCTAGGAATGGGCGATGTGCAAAAGACACCTGTAGCGAGTCTTAAACAGAGATGATGCACAGGATCCAACATTTTGAGTGCAGAAGGCCTCCTCTGAGTCGTAAACTATAGCAACATAGTCCAGAGCAGACGTGACCGAATAAGGGAGTTGTATAGGCGTAGTAGACATTCTATCGTATCCCCGTGACTTGTACGCTAAGACTTTAAGAATATTGGCTGATTTAAGGCACTTCTTTTTCAGGCCCTTGAGGTGGGAAATGAAGTTTTAACTTTTTATCAAACGTTATGCCCCGAAATTTATGCTCTGTTTTGACACTAATAGGAACCCTGTTTAACGTCAGTTCTGGATCTAGAAACAACCCCCGACGCAGAGAAAATGGCACACAAATAGTCTTCTCAGGCGAAAACTTAAACCCATTTTCGTCAGCCCACTTACTAATTTAGTTGATGGTAAGCGGCAGTTGCCGCTCACAGCTAGACAAATTACAAGAAACCGAAATCTGAATATCATCCAAGTAGAGGGAGTATGAACGGAAGGTGGAATCACATTTGACGAGTTAATCTTTACGGCAAACAAGATGACACTTAATACGCCTCCCTGCGGAACACCGTTTTCCTGGATGTACTGGTCTGATAGTGTGGTGGCAAGTCGAACTTGAAAAGAGCGACCTGTAAGAAAACTGCTTATACAACGCAACATGCGACCACGCACGCACATGATCTGTATGCAGAAGCATACAGATCATGAAAGATACCATACCGCAATGTCGTACGCTTTCACGAGGTCGAAGAAAACAGACACAATGTTGCCTATTTACGAAAGCTTCACGTATAATTGTTTCCAGACGGACTATGTGGTCCAAAGTAGACCGGCCCCCTTTAAAGCCACATTGGTTGTTAGCGAAGTGGTCACGCTCCAAAATATATATTAAGTACCTATTCATGAGGCGTTCGGATGTTTTGCAAGGGAACTTGTCAAGGCGATTGGACCATAACTACGTGGGTCCGAAGGGTCCTTCCCAGCTTTCAGCAAAAGAATTACTCGTGCCTGTTTCCAGATTTGAGGAAAGTAAGCTGCTTCCCACAGATAGTTGAAAAAACCTAGCAGTGTTCTACGATTCCCGAGGCAATTGACGGAGCAATTCATAGTGGATTCCATCAGGACCCGGAGCCGACCTCTTCTTGGAGCAAAGAGCCGCCTCTAGTTCTTGCATTGTAAAAGGAGTGTTGTATGGCTCGGAGCTACAACCGGACATCGGTATACGGTGACACTATTCCCTCCGCTAATTTCGGGAGCTGGAAACATTCTCGAAGTGCTCTTCAAGCACGTTAGCAACATCAGTGAATTAGCAGGGGAGCTAAATAGAGGAATAACAAAACAACGGTAATCCCTTGATTTTTTTTTTTGTACCTATCCCAAATTCCCTACTCCGAGACAAAACTATTTAGCAAGGAAATGTACTTGGTCCCGAACTCCCGCTTAGCTCTTCTCCTAGTCCATCGGGCCTTTGCTTTTAGTCTTTTAAATTCTACCCTATTTGTAGAAGTAGGGTACCTCCGAAAGGTATCCCGTGCCCTATGCTGCGTTTTCCTTGTGGCGGCAGTCTTCATTCCACGGTAGTGGAATGAAGACTTCATTCCAAGACAGTGACTTCTGCCATGGTGTACTCTTATGACGTACTTGTGTAAACGATTAAAAAGCGTGTGATGTCGTCTTTACTATGTCCAAATGTTCTTTCCCTTCTGTTAGAAAAATGATAGCACAAGCCTTGGCATAGTTACTTATATATAGTACAGTGTAACCATTCTTACAGATTGCTTTCTTTTTTGGCGCGCCAAAGCAAATTCTTCCTTAAAAGGAAGTTTGGAAAGAGCTGCGTTTGATAGGCCGGATGTCTTAATAAATAGTGTGTATTTCACGAACTTCAACTCGTCTTTCGAGGGACTTTTTAAAAGAAACAGTTGTGCTCCGGCCCTTCTAGAATTGCGTTTAAACCGCCATATCTACAGCAGCGACCATTGAGACCATCACTTCGTCTCAATGTACCACGCGTCAGAACAAGATATAATTAGCGTACGCGGATGTACTATGTGCCACATGTTTTCAACAACCTACTAGAGTCATTGCTTTAAAAAAAATCTAATAAGGAACTTAAAAAAAACTGCGAAACTTAGAACAATAAGTTGACACTTTCGGTTTTATTGTGTCATGTATCAAAATTATAGCCGTTCATTTCCTTTTTAAGCATGTTTTTGAAGGTAAATAGGTATACCAAATTTTGAATACAATTATACCGAGACTTCGCCACCTGCCGAACTAGGTACACAACCCCTGAGGCTTATACCGGCACGTTAGTTGTACTTTAGACATGGTTACCCATGAAAATAAAGCTGTTCTGTTCTACAAAAATACGCAAGCAGATGCCCTGGCAAGCGCGGGCACTTGCTCGACGAAAGAAGATCCTGCTTGCTCTATTGAGCTGCAGTGACCTGGGCTGCCCCAGTCTCCAATTTTGTTCCCATTGTATCTTTTTGCCCAAAGTTATTTCTAAGGTGCTTCTTCTTTTCGTAATCCGCGCATTGTTGCATGCATCCTTGGAATCCTCGAACCCCGTTTTCTGTAGGCACCGCGCCAGTGATTTCTAAAATGGTGGATAATAATATATCTTCCCTGAAGCCAGTCAAAGTGCCATATGAAAGACTGAAGATGAGGTTTTACTAAAAAGGTACTTTATTAAATGTTCCTAACTTTTGAAGTGACCTACAATGATATTAAAAACTTAAAAGATGACATAAGTGATCCAACTCAATCTTTGAATATACTGGAGGACCACACATGAATTTGTCTCGAAAACTATGAAACATAATGCCTGTAACACATTAAAAAAATAGTCCTCATGAAAGCTTCATGTGGACATACAAATATATCGAGAGGAAACATACAAGCAATCCAGACGAAGCATGAAACTCTACACTGGCAGAGGCCTGTGGGTTCTCCAGAGCGTTGCCCGCTGGCACTGCTGCTTCTGTTAGCGGGTCATCCTCAACTGGCTCCACGAGGATGGTGAGTCCGATCGGAGCTTGCTCGGCGGCAGCTCTCCACGAAGCGGCGCAGTGGCGGGGTCCGTGTAATTTGCGAGAGCAACAGCCCAGCCGTCCTGCGCAGCCATCCAGAAGAGCCGGAGCCTGTCAAAAATCTTTGCCTGCGCCCCTGGTGCCAGCTGGTCCCACACCTCGAGGAAGGGCACCAGACACCTCAGCTCTGCAATGTCCCTGTCCTTGAGGAAAGAACGAGTACCAATGGCATTGTCGAGGCACTCGAATGCCAGTCGCACGTTTGCCCTAGGGATTGGGGATCCCCAGTTCCTGTAAAGCCAGTAGTCTGCATTGACCCCCGTGTGCCAAGGTGTTGGAAGCGGATATCCCATGAGCGCCGTATGGTCTATGTGCTGGTGAGTATCAGTGCCCTTCACATCAGGCTGCAAGATGAGGCCTGTTTTCCCTATGACCGGGCCTGTATTGATGCGGCTGTCTAGAAAGGCGAGGAATGCTTTCTTATCATAGTGACAAACTCTCATGAGATCTATGCAGTCTTGCTCAGCACAGTGATCTTTGGAGCGAGCACCAAACAGCCGCGTGTGCAGAGCATCTAGCGAAAATGAAAGTGACTGCAACACTGTTTTTCCTGAAGCTCGCTGGCTCCAAACTACGTGCTTCATAGCCGCGATGGTGTCGCAGCAGACGACGTTGAGGCTCCCGATTGTCTTTCCCATGGCACGGTCCAGTTCTCCCTGGGTAGAGAATTGCGAATACGAGAAAAATACCGTTAACAAGAAGATCCATGTGCATGTTGGCACGTGCATTTATGCAACATAAACTAAGGTGGCAAAGTTTGCAGTGCTCATTACTATCACATTGTAAACATACAATGCAAATGATTAGTGTGTAATATGCGGCCAATGACCCTTCGGCCAAAGTGTTCACTCTCGAGATGCGGACATCTCTAAGAAAAAAAATCTACGGACAGGCGGGCCTATTGTATATGCGTAAATATATCACAAAAAAGGTTAAAAGTAGTTCTTCTGCAAGGATGCCATTCTTTATTCTTGCAGGAAACAAGAAATTGGAATATATATATATATATATATATATATATATATATATATATATATATATATATATATATATATATATATATATATATAAAAAGATACGTGTCACAGATGAGCAAGAGGGCAAGGGAAAATTTTAGGACTTGTGATGAAGGCAAAAGTGGTGCTGATAAGTGTGTGAATAACTTTAGTCAGTGTAAATATACATTGGCCACAATGTAAATTCTTGTTGCCTTCATGACTTGTGCACAATGCATGGTTTTTCAGTAAATCTTTGGATAAAAGTAACCTTTCGTCTGTTGTTCATGCCTGTTCGATAAAACAAAAACATTTGATTCTGCTCACCGCCAAGATGGGGAAGTTGAAGCGATCTCCGTTGTGAGCCAAGAGGCACGTAGGAGCCGGAAGCAGAGCCAGGAAGGAGCCAAGGACCGGCACAACATCACGGAAGGGCGGCTGACCTCCCAGCATGTCCAGAGTCAGCCCTTGCGAATCCGCCGTTCAAAAACAGAAAGACGCTATTCAAGACGTTATGTATTGTTTGTTTTTTCTCTTCGTGTTAGGGTAAACAATTGTATTCAAGAAAGTGCTAAGATTAAGAAATTTCGCTAACAAATATATTTTCCCTTTTATTAAAGATTGCTACATATTAGCCGATCCAAAGGTATTTGGCAGTTGATACGAGTTTAGCAACAACCGACACACATTCACTGAGAAAACCACCACATAATATAGGCAGTGGTTTGATCTTATCAACAGTGATGTGGGCACAAGACATGACTGCACTTCACGACAATAACTTCGTTAGTTCGTTTGATGTCTAGTATAGTCGGAATTGACTTATTTGCTAACAGTCTCGTGTGCGTTTCATTGGATTTTTGAGTTTTGAAGCTTCAAACGGAAGTGACATGTAACAAAGAATGAGCTAACAGTTTCACAAGTTCATCCTATACAGTAAAACCTCGTTAATTCAACCCCGCTAATTCGGAAATTGGGATAATTTGAACTGCCGATCTGGTCCCGTCAAACGTATGTATTAGTCAATGGCAGCGAACGCTCATTAATTCGGACGGAACGCGGCGCAGTATGGTTAATTCGGACGAACTCGGCAGGTGGCGCTAGCTACCGTCCGTTCCAAAGAGTATGACCGCTATCCATCCGAGGTGCACACGCGGTTTTTCCGGTTTTCTCATGGCTCTTTGCTCTTCCGGTTCTCCGTGTTTCGCACCAGTTTTGCTCTAGATTGCCGTGCTTCAGCGCCTTACTCTCCTCGCCTGGAAGCGGCAGAAGCATTGCTGCAACGGAAAAAGGGTACCACAAGTGACCGACGACCGGAATGACAAAATCGCGACACGCGGGGCTATTGTTCCCGAGCGAGCCGATTACGAGAGTGACAGTCACGTTTTATGCCTTAACGCGGGGATCCTAAAGCCCGCCATTTTAACCCCGCGTTGCAAAATGCAACGTGACTGACACTCTCGCCATCGGCGCGCTCGGGAAAAACAGCGCGGGGTGTCGCGATTTCGCCGCTCCGATTATTGGTCAGTTTTGCTACTCGTTTTCCGTTGCAACTGTACCAGGCTAAGAATTTATCGACGAAAGTGGAAATACTGAGGGCCTTGAAGGACGGCGTCTCTCGACAAGTGACGGAAAGTTGCGATGTCAAGAGAAGCAGTTTGGCCACGTACGTGAAAATTGAGGCCGATATCCTACGGGTTTTCGAGAGCGAGAAGTTCAACGCGAAAAGAAAGCGGCCTTGGAAGGTGGTGCACCCGAAACTAGAAGAGGCCTTGCTGTGCTACATTGTCAGCACACGGGATGCGTAGCTCCGACAGTGCGAGTGCGGTGGAGCACTCGACCGCGCTAAGGAAAGTTGCCGTCTCCGCCCAAGTGTCGTCCAGAAAGCAGGCGGTAATAACGGATTTCTTCTCAAAATAAAGGTATGTCACAGGGAAACGTTTTCGCGCTGTTTTCTTTTTTTTTTTTTTTCGATATTTCGACTTTCGGATAATTCGGACATTTTTTCCGGCCCCATGAGATCCGAATTAACGAGGTTTTACTGTTCTTCCCTTTTCCGCACAGCACCCAGGGGAGCTGTACAGCTTCCCTTTGGTGCATATCCACCCAGTGGAAGCTGTGCAGCTCACTGGATCATATCGAAGAAACGCATTCTTCACCATACCCTTCGGGCATTCTGGCTGGAACCACATTGCTGTTTTAGGCTGCGTCCTGTAGCTTATGGTGAATTCTGCTCGCAGATTTGGAAAGCGCCTCCTTTGGAGCAATCATATTCAGCTGGCAGATCCGGTTCAAGTCGGCCATCTTCCGCTCGTAGATTTGTGGCAGCGCCCGCCCCGTGGGGCGCCTCCAACCCCGCTGAACTTGATCCGTGGGATTGCACGGAGCTTGGCGAAAGCTGACAGAAGCGCACTACATCATTTCCTTTAACTGGGCTGTGCGCATGCGCGGTGAGGTCGCCAGACCGGTCAGGCCGTCGAGATGAATCTGTTCGGGTGCATCGGTTGTTTACGTGAGACCGTGAAGGCTCGAACGCTCCTGCCTTCCGTAGATCAGGGGTGCTAGCCGGGACTGGAGCGTGGCAAATCACAAGCGCTGATATTTGTCATCGTGAGAGGCGAAACGAGAAAAAGAACGACAGAAAATTTGAAGGGAGCAGACGCAAGGATAGGCCTGTTCATTTTGCTGTAACTGATGGTTTACGTTTTTACATTGCATGCCGCCAGCGTTTTCTCGTGCAATAAAGCAAGAACAAGCTGACAACGATCGTGCAAGTGATGGACTGTTACCTCTTTCTGTTTATTCGAGTCTTACCAGCAATCTGATCTCCACCGATGGCGATCGCTGTGCGCGCCCCGCTGCTTTGAGGCGGCCGAAATGTATGTGACGGTGGCGAACGCGTACGTCTTCCTCGTTATTTGTGACATGGGCTTCGCGGTACGGATATTGCGCCCGGCCTGTGTCGGGTGTTATTTCCGCAGCTGAACAGTGACAGTAGGAACTAGTCGTCGGAAAGCTCAGTCGGCTGAGGCGTTGGTCGGCTCGTCAAGTTCGAGCAGCGGCCATTGTAAACGGCACACCGCCACGGGCGGGTCGCTCCAAAATTGAGAGTCCGCTCGTCGCTTTGGAGCGGGTCCCACGGAGCGGATTTTTGCTTCCCTGGGGGATTTTGTAAACAGCTCCGGATCTAGCAGCAGAATTCACCATTCATTTTTAGCTGCGTCCTCCACCCAGGCTTCAATTTGTTGAATCTCTGAAATCAGTCCACTTTCTTTGATCGTGCATACTGCTGAACGATAATAATTAAAAAAAAATAGTGCTGGCCAAGAGCAGCAGGAAAGCAGCATTTCCCCCTACATAAAGCAGGATACAGGTTCTCCGGTGTACGCTAGGCAGTATGTACAGGGGTGGAAGCTTCAGTCATTTGTAGCAGGTGGGGAAGCCAGAAAAATGCCCCTTGGAGCAGCTCAGCAGCTACAAAAGTCGAGTTTATTAGCGGAATAAGTAAATCTTGGAGCTGGTCACTCAGGTCAAAATTGGGGCTATAAGCGCAGAGGTGCTTTTTTAGATAAAAAATATCTGAACGAAAAAGCATCTCTATGTAAAGTTCCAGAACCATTTCCAAACATACCCTTCCCTTAAACATAATGGACTCCTTCCAAAACCGACGCGCCCCATCGCGGCGAAATACCACGCAGTGCATTCTGGGGACTAGTTGGCCAGTCAGTTTCGGTTTCGATTGAGCAGCTTATTCATCTCTGCTATCACGCCGCGACCAAACGCGCTGCTTGCGCTTTTGATTATCTGACTTTTTACGAATGTACAGTACACTCATTCTCGAGCGATACAAAACGAAGACCGGGGCACTTTCCTTGGTTCCCGAAACACCGGATATTATGCGTGCGTATGCAAACGTAGTAAGACGTCGCCCAGTCACCTCACCCCACGAGTGCATCTTTGAGCTCGGATTTCAATATTTCCGTCTAGTACCAGTGAACTACAACTGAAATTTAGTCACCTTGAGCCTTACACGTATTTTGTTTGCCCCACGTCCGCATCGTGTTACTTCATTGGGCGAAAACCAAGCCGCATCCTCACAGGAGTATCAAAGCTGAGCCCAGCGTTGACGCATAAACTTTTAAGGAAACGCAATAAATTCGGCCTTACTACTGCACAAAAGTTACTATGTTGTCTTCCTCGTGTCATCATATATCTCCGACTCCAATTTTATGCTGATAGAAGATTAAGCTTTCGCAAACGCTGAGATCGGCTAGCTACGACGGAAGCCCTAACAAGCGTCCCCTACTCCTCGCTAAGCCCTTTTGGACGAGCTTTTACTGACGCTCAAGATCTGTGCCTGAACGGTGCGTATGAAATTATCTCGGCATACTCAGTCAGTAAGAAAGCAAACACATAAAAAATAGTATGGCCATTAGCAACCGTCAAATGCGCTTTGAATAATTTCGTTCGTTTGGCGCACCGCATAGGGAGGGGTTCATTCCCGTCCGGCGCACTTCCAGCGAACGGTGCGAATTCTTCAAACAAGTGCTCGACTTTTGCTTTCTTGTGCTAAAGCTTCGAGATCTGGCCATTTAGGTTAGTTTAGAGGCAAGAAATGACGCTCTCGGGACCAGAAAACATGAGATAACGGCCGTTAATAGTCCACGCTCTGTGTATCATCTCTTGTCGACGTGTGGATCGAAACCGAAACCATGCCACTCTCCTCCCTGGCCAACTAGTTCCCAGAGTGCGACGCGCGCCGTGTTGCATGCAGGGCTTTATGGAAGTAGTCTATTCAGCCTATTGGCAACTCCAGGGAAACCAACGCCGCGTAGCGGCAACGCCTAGAAGCTCAAGAGAGGACTTCGTTTCTACTCTTTCATCTGCTATCGCTGCTTGATTCTTGTAGAAAGCATAAAAACAAACATCGTTTCCAGTAACTTACTTTATGCTTCCGCCGTGTCATTCCTACGCAGTACCAAACGTTTTTTTACCGTCGAAAAATTGCTTTTGCTTTCATATCTAACACCGATTTTACGCTGCAGTGCAAAACATTTATGGTGATCCGCCTGCTGAACGACGAAAACGACCTCCTTTCGTTCGCCAGTTTGCCAGACCAGCGCGCCCCCTTTAGTTCGCTGGAGTCGCGAATAGCATAAAAAAGCAACTAGCGTAGTTGCCATTTATCCGAATGACACCTATTCTAAACTGTCCTGGTAGCGCGTTGGTTCCTCTTACGAATTTTTAACAGAAGGCATAGTCCACAAAAGAAGCACACTTAAGCCTCATGAAAACAAAACGTCGTACCAATCTGACAACCCAAACTACATTCCATAAGTTTAAAACAAAACAATTTCATGATGCGATAGTATGGAATGAATTAAATCTCAATACCTACTGACTACAGCTTTCATAATTAGGAAATCAAAATATCCCAAGTTCCTGTTTAGTAAACATAAATGTATGCGAATATCAAGTCGTATGCTTCGTGAGCAGGTGTTGCGGTGACGTCTAAACGACAATGAGTTTTGTTTGGCTTTGATTGGACGGATAAAGGGTAGACCTTAATGCTAGGTGACTTGAGGTTCACCCACTATTGTTTTCAATCGGCCGATAAGAGCTCGGCGTTTTGACATCATCGCAACCGCTGTGCCGGAAGCAGACGAACTTGCTCTCCGCACTCCAGTACTTAAGGGTAAAGAGTACAAATACTCTATCTGATAAAAGTACAAATGCAAAATATTGAAAACTTCATGATATGATTCCTGGTCATACATACACGCTTAACATGCATGACTGAACTGAATAAAAAAAAAAAAAGCTTGTTTCGAATAGTGATGAACAAAAAGTGACTGAGAAAACTAGCAAGAAAGGCCATAAACTGGAAGGCTTTCGTCACAAGTCAATTGCACGAATGCTTTCTAGCACAACTATTTAGGGTTTGCGTCGTTCAGCGGGACATTCCCACTGTTCCCATTGACCTGCCGCTGGTTTGCTGTTTGTGTGACAGCGCGTGTATTCGCCACGTACGTGTTTGCAGATTTGTTTACAGAAAGTTTCCAGATGAAGTAACCAATCATCGCTTTTAGTGTTACGTTCACGACAGGAACGAGGGGCGCGTAAGCGGTCTCGGCAAAAGCAAACACCCTAAAGACGTAAACAACGAATGATTGTGCAAAATGTTTGTTGACTTTTGTAGAGTAGTTATCGCTTTCCCCAAAGAGTAGATGACAGGCGAAAACATGCCAGCAGGCTCCTATAGGTACGTTTACATATCGTAAAGTCCTAAAAGACCGCCCACCCAAATTGAAAAGATCAACGGTGAATTGTATGCTGTGATGTTCGGGATGCGATAGCAAAATTTGTGATAAGCACGGGTGCGATAAGTACGCGGGAATTCGCTATGAACTCTCCTGTCACGCGTACCAACGCAGACGCAATAACATTCGCGCTTCACAGTGCGATATACACGCAAGAACCCGTTACGAACTCGGCTGTCACGGGACCAATATCACGCACGTAAATCGCAAAAAAAAAAAGACATAAAAAAACGCTGGAGCGAATTAGGAATTTGCGTGTCACGGCGTGATACGCACGAGGAAACCCGCGGCGAACACGCTTGTCACACGTACCAATACTGCAGATCGTGCGGTTGATGTGTCGGAAATCACGTGATCGATATCCGGCTCGAATCGGGGGGTTCGATGTTTCGGAATTTTTATTTTATACATATTCAGCCCCAAAATCTTAAATGGGCGATTTCTCGGGGACGAGCGTTCATACGATACTTTACAGTATACGTGATGTATTGCATGCGGTACTTGGAATACACGCGGCCATGCTCAACGCCACTGCGAAAAATAAATAAATAAATAAATAAAGAAACAAAAAAAAAAGTAAACGACGAAATTATGATTTAGCTGACGAAGTCACGTGTGAATTTCCCATTTTCGAAGATCAGACAACTACACGCAGTTAGGACAGAACGAGCGGGTTGGTCCTCAAGTTTAAATACACGCAGTTGTTGGCTGAGCTGTGGCACTGGCGGCACAAAGCAACGTGCCCAAACAAGTACCTCGAAGGTACTGCTACGAGGAACGGAAATAAACACACGACGTTTATTACGTGTTGTTTATATTCGTCCAAATACGGTATATTTCTGAACAACAATAAAAGAACAACCAACTCGCGCGGTTCTTTTTCGTCTTGCTGACGATTGACAGCTCATCAAAGTACAAGAACATGAAACGAAACGGAACACTGTGTCTATTTTCCTCGTCCGGAATAAATCATGATCATTCTCGCCAAATGAAATAGTCACTTGGCGCCTTGTGTCGTCAAAACAAAAGTAAAAATATTTTTTTTTCTAGTTTTGCCACAGCGACTGCCACAGCGACAGACTGCCACAGCGAAGGTGAATTGGCGCACAATGGCGTGATTGGCGCAGCGCTTCCACCCCTGTATATACCCACAGGGGACGTGTCACATTTCGCCAGATTTTCTCAACCGGTTGGCGTAGAGGACGAGGTGGTGGTGGTGGGTGGGAAGATGGGCGGGTGAGTGGGGGAAGGGGGTTGGTTTTAAACCCACTCCCCCTTTCCTTTTACTCCCAATTGCATAGCCGACCCATCACTGAAAAAAAGTTACTGGCTACGCTACTGTACTCAACAGTGGCTTCGTTTCTAAAATGACCCAGCAACCCCCGACTTTCTGAAACTCGTACGGCCACCCTTCCCCAAGTCCCCACTTTTCAGGCTAGCGAGGTGCTGCGATCAAGCAGAGAGGCAGCGCACCGGATATTCTGGCAGCAACTGGATCCATCGGGGCCTGCGGTTTCACGCAAAGCACCAGCTTATGGAGGACTCTGAATGGCAGCCCCCTGCTCGCTTCGAAGTGCTCCCTGGAGACGGCCACGCACGCCAGCTCCGTGATGCCGACGTCCTTTCCCGAGGCTGGGAGACCGGTTGTCTCAACGTCGAAGAACACCAGGGTCCTGACTGAAGCACTCCCTGCAGCGAGCGCACCCGTGAGCGGTGAGAGCCGTTCTTAACCTTGTGACATACCAAGCTATCCTGGGGCCTCGTCATGGGAACCCCCCGGTGGCCCATCTTGCACCGGGTGCTAAATGAACAAATACGAAGGTTTAATGTTTCGCTCTAAAATATACTAGCTTTTCTTTTATTTTCTGACAGTAAAATCAAGATGCCGGTACAGTGAACGGCCCAACACCGCTATGAAAGGTTCAACATCAATTCGCTTCATACGACACATTTTATTGAAAGTACCCTCGGAACAATTTAGTGAAAACTTAAAAAATGCTAAAGTTTAAATTTTTTCAAACAAGACTTTCCATATTATTATCTTTAGAATGGCCGCAAAGATGTTTATTAGCGTTCGAGGGTTTCTATGGGGTGATATCAGAGTGGATCTTACGCTCCAGAACGAGCTGAAAACATCAAGGCTTGCGCATGAAAAGCTCTTTCGCCGAATCTGCATTTAGGTTGCGGGGTTAACCTTGTGAAATTTCAAGGCGTGGTTCTCTTCCTGAATGAAATGAAACAAACTAACTATAGTCAGTCAATGGCGGATGTTCCGAGACGATTGAGTTAGTGGAGAACGCCTGTGCCTCTCGGAAGAAGCCTCCCCAGAGGCACAGTTATCAAAGATCAGAGATAGCTTGACAAGTCACGTTCATCTAGAGGGCGTTTTCTGATAAAATCGAACAACCATGCATGTCCGGTAACAATTTTTAATTTTGCTGCAAAAAAAAAAATTGTGTGATCCTTGCTTAGAAGAGTAAAACCAAGCCTTGCTTTGGAGAAAAAAAATTGTAGTTGCGAAAAAATATTTGTAAGCATCCTCGCAGTCACGTGCGCGTTTTGCGTAGCGCACGATGTTGGCATTTCAGGCAACTTCCTCCCCCTCCCCCCCCCCCCCCCCCCCAAAAAAAAAAAAAGGAAGAAAATACTATTCTGGTTTTGGGTCTACAAATATTTACTCACAAGTTAGGCACAGGAAGGAATGACAAAAAAGTATCAATCAACGACTATTAGGGCCGTTATTTCGAGAAACAAAGTCGCAAATACCGCACATAGCCCAAAACGGCTCTAAATTAAATATGTTTCTCCGTTTATTTAACAGCTAAGGTATTCAAACTTTGCCAGTGTGTTGCCCTGTATGTAGTTCATATGTGCATGAATTATTGTTCTCCTGGTTAGCGGGAGAAATTTACAAGGATTTTTCACACAGGGTAAATTTAACTAAATATGCACTATTTTGAAAATCATTTTCAAAAAAGGCCGTCTTTAATATCCTTCAAACTCTCCGACATTAACGTTTATAATATGTGCTAACAAAATCTGCAAAAAAAAAAATAATGCGATATTTTTGTGGCTTTGAAGTTATAAAGCGAGAAATATGGCAAAATGGACGCTAACGCGGTTGCCATAAATGGGGCGTGCACATACTCGTTCTTCGCAATTTCATTATTATTAAGAGGCGTAAAAATGCTAAGGCGTGGTCAGGAAAAGACAAACTGACAGCACAGAGGGGGACGGCACTTTCAAGGGGAAAATGTCTAATACATTTTCGTACAACTGACCCAAGAATGCCTCTGGCCGGAGCGATCGAGGTGCGCCACCCTGTAACATGCTTCGCGGTTACAGGGTGGTGTTTATCATCGATTCGCCGGCTTTCCTGCACGGCCCAGGATTCTGCTCGTCACGTGACTGAATTCGGCGAGTAGCGGCGCCGCGCGTTGGCGGCGCGCTCCTTCGTTTCCCCTGGAAAACAGGAGAGGAGGTGGAGGCCAAAGCCGGGGAACATATGCCGGAGCACGTGTAGTAACGTCGGCGAAGCGGCCGTACCAGTGGCTTTACTGCACGGCACTTGGGTTTTGGTCCTCACGTGATCTGATTTCGGCGAATAGCGGCGCGGTGGCACGTGGAAAACGGACGCGCAACTCTGGCTCCCGTAAGGGCTCAACCTTGGAAAATTTTCCAAGGTTCAGCCCACCATCTCAATGCACATTTGGAGAAAGTTTGAGCTTCCCAAGTGCAGGTGCAGATTTTCACTCATTGTTTTACGGAAAAAGATTTACAGTACTCCTAGATGTGTGTAGTATCGAAATCTGCCAGAAAAATAAATGGCTTCCTCAGCAATCTGCACTGTCTTCAGAACTTCAAGAACTATCAGCTTCTTTGAGCGGCTGAGGCACTTTTTCCTGCGTGTCGTTTCATCCATTCATTTCTTCGTTTATTTTTTGTGCTCATGAACGGCTCATGATCGTGGAGGCCTTTTCGATATACAAAAGAGGGGAAGGAGCCATCAGCTCTCCATCAATAACCTTGCTTGCCAAAGAAATAGAATACCTTGAAGAGCAACCTAGGCATGTGCGGGAAAGGCCTTAGTTTAGTTGACACTTTCCAAGATCTTTGGTCTCCATCAGGCGAAGACCACTGGAGATCACAATGCGCAGAATCTACACAAAGGCTCCTAAAAGAAGAAAGGCGGCAATCGCACGCTCAATGGTCTCCAGGTGGCGAAGGTTACCACGCCTGGGTCAGCAAACTATAGCACGTGCTTTTCCCCTTTTTCTTTTCTTTTTGTCTTTTCTTTTCCTTTCTTTTCTTTTCTTTCTTTTCTTTTCTTTCTTTTGTTTTCTGGTTGCGCCTTCGGTTAGAGAAAATGTGACGCCTGCTGGCACAGGCCATTCCCGTGCAAAAAACTGCCGCGCGTGTGTTTGATGAAAAAAGTGCATTTTGGCACTCTCGAGTCTCGCGCACTTCATCCTCTTCTGAATAAATAGCATCAGTTGATAGTCAGCGCTCGTCCTGGCCTCTTCTCTTCTATCTTCCTGTCGTCTTTGCGCTGTTCAAACACTAAGTATGAACCAACTAGCCCACCGCAGTACCTTGTTGTCATGAACGGCTTTCGCTTTGTAATGATGCACAATTAACATACATTAAAAAGGAAGAATAATTCTACAGATTCAGAAGAGAAAACTTGTACATTACAAAATATGGCTTAAAGTTTATAGATTTGTAAGAGAAAACTTGAATGCTGTAAAATATGGGTTAAAAACATAGATGCAGGAAGTATCGAAAGTATATACAAGGTCTGAATGCGTGTCATGGGGCAGGTTTGGGAGAGTTGATTGACATAAAATAGGAGAGAAATTCGCAAAAATCTTTTCGGAACATGAATATTTACCGCTGAAGTTAGGCTAGGGCAATCAATGACTTCGTGAACACATTTGAACAAAAATATGATATCTCTGTCGCGTCGTTTGGCACTCAAAGTTGAACCATTGTATCGTTTTAAAGGTGTTCTATATTCAAAGTAAACAGTGCGACCGACTCACTGGTCGTAAAAAATTCGAAACATTTCTGGACATTCTCAATCGACTCTTGGTGCGTACGCCAAATAGAATTCCACACAACAGAGGAAAACTCCAGCTTAGACCTAATTAATCAAAATTATAATACAGGCCGACATGGAAAACTCACGCGTGATTCTGGATAAAACACCCAACGTACGGAAAGAGACGTTGACAATGTTATTGACAAGTATATTAAATGATAGAGAAGAGTCTATATAAGGACAGAATGAGCGGGTTGGTATAGAATAATTAAACGTGAGGAAGAAAACGAGAAAGGACGGACAACCACAAACTTCCAACTAGCAACATTTATTGACACCAAGAGTTTGCTTATATACAGGAAAAGGGAGAGGGTGAAACAAAAGGTGGAAAGAGGGAGCACTATGCCGTCAAGGGTACGTCGCTGTCGGAAACGTGGGGGAGAGAAAGCTCTCAACTAAGGAATCTTATCTTTTTCCCCGAAAGGCCCATGGAGGGGGAACCGATGTTGTCCTTAAAGGGGCAGTCAAGTGGTTTTTGAGTTCGTGTTTTGATAATGACAGCTGAATTTAAACGCCTTAAGTATCCCTAAAAACCAAAAAGTATAGTCATACGGTGATTATTTCTTCAATAAAAATGTAATTGAAGGCCGCCAAACGTCGGATCCATCCGAAAACGAAACCACTCTCATTGGTCGTCGCACGCTTATCAAAAGGATCTCGGGCCAATGGCGTTGGACAACGTTCCGTCGCGCAGTGATCCCGAGGTAGCCGCATCGGCCGAACCTCTTTGTCATTCGAGCTTCGATCATGGCGGAGTTCTCTACGCTCGAGGACCTGACGCCATTAGAGGTTGAAGTTCTTCGGCGGACAGCCGACCTGGGGATGATTTCCTATGACGCCACTCCGACGTGCGATGTGGACGATAGCAGCGCTTGGGAGTCATGATCGGGTTCCGAGGACGACGAAACGCAGACCTTTTCGGGCGTTCTTCGATTTGCGGTTGGGGCAAGTCGTAACCAAACCAACGTTTGACATCGCAGCGTTACCTCTGGTACGTGATGTCAAACGATGTCGCCACGTTGACTTTCGCCTCGGGAGGACGGGGGGAAGGCTGGTTCAGACATGTGCAACGAGCGCGTACCTACGAATGCGTCCGTTGCAACCGGAGCTACCGCTCTGCGCTGCGCGTACACACACCTGCAACCACTACAACAAGGGCAGCGGGTCGTCAGCACGGCGACCGCTTCTATACGCCGCCGTCAGCTGTTTCAGCGGACCCTCTAAAAAGGGGACGCACTGCTACTCAATGCCGTAACAGAATATAGACAGACAGTTTTCTAGTCTAAAGCTTTATTATTTTTTCTTGGTAGGCTTGCAGGGTACAGCAAATGAAAAAAATAAAATAAAAAGATGCAGCGCCGTCTTGGACGATCACGACTCTAATACACGACTTTACCAATAGTACAAATATGGCCACACGCCTTTTCTACGATTATAAAAGACATGTAATCTTAGAAGCGATATAGCAACGTAGAAATATGATTTCGTGATCAGATAGACGTTGCGAGCGTTCAGGATTGCTAACACTAATCACTTTTCTCCAGCAATGAAAACGCGAGAAAATTCGCATCCTTTATACGATACGCGC